ATTCTATACATGCCATTATCTACCACCAACACCACTATCATATTCTATACATGCCATTATCTACCACCAACACCACTATCATATTCTATACATGCCATTATCTACCACCAACACCACTATCATATTCTATACATGCCATTATCTACCACCAACACCACTATCATATTCTATACATGCCATTATCTACCACCAACACCACTATCATATTCTATACATGCCATTATCTACCACCAACACCACTATCATATTCTATACATGCCATTATCTACCACCAACACCACTATCATATTCTATACATGCCATTATCTACCACCAACACCACTATCATATTCTATACATGCCATTATCTACCACCAACACCACTATCATATTCTATACATGCCATTATCTACCACCAACACCACTATCATATTCTATACATGCCATTATCTACCACCAACACCACTATCATATTCTATACATGCCATTATCTACCACCAACACCACTATCATATTCTATACATGCCATTATCTACCACCAACACCACTATCATATTCTATACATGCCATTATCTACCACCAACACCACTATCATATTCTATACATGCCATTATCTACCACCAACACCACTATCATATTCTATACATGCCATTATCTACCACCAACACCACTATCATATTCTATACATGCCATTATCTACCACCAACACCACTATCATATTCTATACATGCCATTATCTACCACCAACACCACTATCATATTCTATACATGCCATTATCTACCACCAACACCACTATCATATTCTATACATGCCATTATCTACCACCAACACCACTATCATATTCTATACATGCCATTATCTACCACCAACACCACTATCATATTCTATACATGCCATTATCTACCACCAACACCACTATCATATTCTATACATGCCATTATCTACCACCAACACCACTATCATATTCTATACATGCCATTATCTACCACCAACACCACTATCATATTCTATACATGCCATTATCTACCACCAACACCACTATCATATTCTATACATGCCATTATCTACCACCAACACCACTATCATATTCTATACATGCCATTATCTACCACCAACACCACTATCATATTCTATACATGCCATTATCTACCACCAACACCACTATCATATTCTATACATGCCATTATCTACCACCAACACCACTATCATATTCTATACATGCCATTATCTACCACCAACACCACTATCATATTCTATACATGCCATTATCTACCACCAACACCACTATCATATTCTATACATGCCATTATCTACCACCAACACCACTATCATATTCTATACATGCCATTATCTACCACCAACACCACTATCATATTCTATACATGCCATTATCTACCACCAACACCACTATCATATTCTATACATGCCATTATCTACCACCAACACCACTATCATATTCTATACATGCCATTATCTACCACCAACACCACTATCATATTCTATACATGCCATTATCTACCACCAACACCACTATCATATTCTATACATGCCATTATCTACCACCAACACCACTATCATATTCTATACATGCCATTATCTACCACCAACACCACTATCATATTCTATACATGCCATTATCTACCACCAACACCACTATCATATTCTATACATGCCATTATCTACCACCAACACCACTATCATATTCTATACATGCCATTATCTACCACCAACACCACTATCATATTCTATACATGCCATTATCTACCACCAACACCACTATCATATTCTATACATGCCATTATCTACCACCAACACCACTATCATATTCTATACATGCCACTATCTACCACCAACACCACTATCATATTCTATACATGCCACTATCTACCACCAACACCACTATCATATTATATGCATGAACACAATTTCCAGCACATTTCCCTACTCGTGGTAAATTGGATCCTTATTCTCTTAAATGTGTCTTTCTTGGGTATTCACCCACTCAAAAAGGGTATAAATGTTATCATCCTCCTTACATAAGTGGTTTGTGTCCATGGATGTCACATTCTTTGAGTCCCAGTCCTACTTCTTGTCCTTTCTGGTTTCCGAGTCATCCCTTCAAGGGAAGCCTTGGTGTGAAGAGATTCTTGGCATAGGAGTATTACTTGTTTCTAAACCTTTATGAGTCGTTGAGGATATAGCATGTGAACCAACTATTGGGAATACAAAAGCTGATACACTCAAGGAGTAAGGAAAAGTCTATGTCAGGGATAAAGAAAGACAGAAGGCTACTTGGATTCAAGAGACCACTTCTCCTGATCTTCCACTGTCGTTTCCTTCAACTAATGAGAGTCTAGGCAACTCTGATAACCTTGAATGCACAAATCTTGATATTCCTATTGCCCATCGGAAGGGTGTGAGATCTTGTACTCAACATCATATCTCTAATTTTGTATCCTATTCTAATTTGTCACCCTTATATAGTCTTTGTGCCAAAATTTTCCTCTGTTAGTATACCTGATCATTTTCAGGATGCTCTTGCCACCTCTGAGTGGAAACGTGCCATGATTGAAGAAATAGAAGCACTTCATAAGAATGACACTTGGGAATTGACAGAGTTATCCAAGGGCAAACGAACTGTAGGATGTAAGTGGGTGTATATTGTGAAGCACAAGGCAGATGGAATTGAAAAGTTTAACCCACACTTCTCCTTAAACCCAGGTATTAAGGAGAGGGAAACTGAAGCCTTATAACCAGCATAGATAGGGAAACTCTAGGTGATGTGGGTCATATTCCAACACACCTTCCTGGATCACAACATACTGTAGTCGGACAAACGGCACACCAATCACAAGTCCAACCAAGTTCTGATACCAAATTGAAAAGTTCAGCCTACACCTCCTTAAAACCCAGGTATTAAAGAGAGGGTAACTCTAGGCGATGTGGGATACATTCCAATAGATGGTTCGATTGAGTGCTATAAGGCTTGGCTTATGGCAAAGGGCTTTACTCAGACTTATGGAGTAGACTATCAGGAGACACTTACACCAGTTGCTAAGATGAATTCAGTCAGGGTGCTCCTCTCTCTGGCAGCTAATCTGGATTAGCCACTTTACTAGTTTGATGTGAAATATGCTTTCTTATATGGTGATCTAGAAGAAGAGGTGTATATGGACATTCTTACTGGCTTTGAAGATCTTAAAAGAAAGGGTAAGGTGTGCAGGCTTCGGAAATCACTTTACGGTCTCAAACAGTCTCCAAGGGCTTGGTTTGAGAGATTTACTTAGGCAATACTTAGATATGGATTCAAACAAAGTCAAGCTCATCACACTTTGTTTGTTAAACATTCTTTACATGGTAAGACTACAACTTTCATTGTATATGTGGATGACATAGTACTCATAGAAGATGATGTTGAAGAAATTTCTCGGTTGAAGGAATATTTGGCAAGCGAGTTTGAAATCAAAGACTTGCGGAACTTGAAGTATTTCCTAGGTATTGAGGTTGCTCGGTTCAATGATGGAATCTTCATTTGTCAAAGGAAATATGTGTTTGATATGTTATAAGAAACCGAGATGCTTGGCAATAAAGCTTGTGACACACCGCTAGAGCCAAACTAGAAACTTGGTGATGATAGTGGAGGAGTTTTTGTTGACAAGGGGAGTTATTAGAAACTAGTGGGTAAACTCATTTACCTATCCCATTTACGTCCTAACACTGTTGTTGCGGTTAGTGTGGTCAGTTAGTTCATGCATGCTCCTCATGAGGCACACTTGGTTGCAGTTATGCGGATTTTTAGATACTTAAAATTTTCGCTTGGAAAGGGCCTCTATTTCTTCAAACATGATCATCTTAGTGTGGAAGCTTATACAGATGCTGATTGGGTAGGATCGGTAACTGATAGTAAGTCCACATCGGGATATTGTACCTTTGTTGGGGGAAATTTAGTTACTTGGAGAAGTAAGAAGCAAAATGTGGTAGCTAGATCTAGTGCAGAGGCGAAGTTTAGAGTCATGGCACAAGGTGTGTGTGAACTTTTGTGGATCAAGTTACTGTTGAGTGATCTTGGAATTGAGCAGATAGACTCCATGCGGCTAATGTGACAATAAGGCTGCTATTAACATAGCTCACAATCCAATTCAACATGACTAGACAAAACATGTTGAAATTGATTGTCACTGCATCAAGGAGAAACTCACTATGGCACTATATGTACTTCTTTTGTGAAGTCTAGAGAACAGCTGGCCGATATTCTCATCAAGGGAGTTGCAAGTAAACCGTTTTATGATATTATTAGCAAGCTGGGCATGAGAGATATTTTTGCACCAGCTTGAGGGGGAATGTTAGAATAATATCTTTGTGATTGTGATTCTGCTTAGCTGTCATTAGTTGTAGTTTCCTTATGTGCCTTGAGACTTCTATTGTACGTGTCATATTATTAATATATAAGGGAGTGATGGTCTCATCATTCTCTAAGCTTGATTTCTCCTAAAATAAACATTTGCAAAGTTTGTCTAACATTGCAGTGTGATGCCTTTGTGATCCATTTTAAGTAACACTTCTGCATTCACTTTTTGACCATGCATGTCAAGCTGAAGTTGTCATTTGCTTAATGTGTTCATCATGACACAAACTATTCTAATGGAACTAAAAGACATTTCCATCATAAACTCCATCATATGGGCATGCACTCGCCCTTTTAATCTTTCATTAATTGTCTTCTAATCTCTCTAAATTTTTTAAATATATATTTTTTATTTCTATAGTTTGGCATCAACTTGCAGCTTTCCTTGTGTGTATGTGTGTGTGTGTGTGTGTTTTTTTTTTTTGGCATGAATTTTGCAACTTTTGTTGTGTTAAAATTTGTATTTTTGTTCAACCCTTCATAATGAGCAATTAACTGGTGGATGGCTTGACATAATGAGCAATTAACTGCCAGATGGCTTTGTTTCCTAGTGAGCTTTGGCATTTCTGTTTTTCATGGATCCTATGGTTACATAACTTTCTTCTTTGTACATAGCTTTCAAAGCTCTTGGAAAGCTGATTCTGGATGTTGGGTTAATGGTGGCATATCACTGCGATAGATATGGTAATTCCTCATGATTAAAATTTTCTAGTATTTTTATTATGAAATTGTAAAAATGAACTCTTGTTTTTCTTGGCCTCAATTTCCACGGATTCTCTGAATGGTTGAGTGAGTGTTTGCCAAGATATTTTAAAGAAATTCTTTGGTTGCGTTTGGTAGAGTTTCGTAAATGTGATTTGAGAATTGAGTTGTATTTTGAGTTTGTGAGTTTTAGAATTATGATTTGAATGTAGAAAATTTGTTTGGTTATGGTTTTTGAATAGAGTGTTGAAATGAGATTTGAATTGAAGTTGGAATTAAGATTTGAAAGTTTGATGTGACATGTAAAAGAAGAAAATGTGTTTGGTTATGAATTTTGGAAATAGTTTTCAAACTGTAATTCAAATTATTATAACCCATAATCAAACACATAACTCGTAACTGTATTGAGCTTATTAGTCAACATTCATAACCAAACTCTTTTTTCAATACAAATCAATAAATTAATTAATAATTTTGCTCCCAATTATTAATTCGTTTTAATAAAAAAAAAATTTCGAATGAAAATTTTGTTCGTATAATTTGGCTCCACATAAATTTTTGATTCAAATAATTATGACCCAATTCTTTTTTTCTTGTTAATTTTTTTTCATTTCAATTTATGTTTTAAATTAATTTATTTTCCAATTACGTTTGTTTGCAAATAATTTTTTTTCCAATAATTTTTTGGCAATTAGTTTTGATTTATTTCATAAATTTTTTTCCAATGCATTTATTTTCATTTAATTTATTGCAACACCCATCTATATACACTTCGTCCTCCTCTATATACACTTCGTCCTCCTCCACCAAGGCAGCACCAAATACACTTCCTGCTCCTGAATCAAGGCACCAGTCAACATACAAGATCAACATAATTGATATTCCCCTCCCAACACAGTTTCTATCCACTAAACATTCAAACTTCTGCCTTCAAGACACTTATATCCACTGGACGTCTGACTGAGCAAGGCAACAACACAACCAGAAAGGCGGCGAGAGAGGGCAGCAGCCAAATACAGCAGCAGGGGGCTGACCGGTGGGTTGGCCGGTGGGTTGACCGGCTGGTCAACCGGTTTTTGTATTTTTTTTTTCCTTCCTCGCAGTGTCCATATCTCACTTCATACCAGTTTAGCTCATCACATTGCATTTATTAACCTTAGTTAGTCACTTATTAACCTTTATAATTCACATGTGTATACCATTTCAAAGTTCAGAGAATGCTTTTCAGAGAATGTTTTTCAGAATTTCAGCGTGCTTTCCCGTGAAGGTATTTAGTGTTAGGATTATTGCTGATCCATATTTTGGACCATTGAAATTGTGTGCTGCAAAGAAACGGGGGGAAATCGTTGCCAAACAATAAACAGAGTTGTATTTTGAATTGTGTGCTAGAATTATGATTTGAAATCTGTATCCAAACGTGAAGTGCAAAACGTGGTCTGGAAATATAATTCCAGAACACTTCCAAACAGAGCCTTTGTTTTTTTTTTTTTTTTTTTCCCTTTCCCCTTTCTGTTTGGCCATTAGTCTTACTGTTAGATTTATGTATGGAATGCCTAGAAAGTTTACTAAGAAAGAATGCACCTGTGTAATTTGACATTTCTGGCAAGTAGATTTGTTTCTAGGTAATTAAGGGATTATTTCTATGTGAGAGAATTATGCTTCGAGTAGCAAGCTAAAGCCGAACTTCTAGATGGCGCACATTTAACAATCATGATAGTACATTCATGCAACCAAACCAAACTGAGAGAAACTATATGGACAGACTTGTGAAGAACCTGACCTATTTTGAGATGTTCTCTAAAAGGTTACAAAAAATGTTATAAAGCTCAAAATGTTTCCTTGAGTAATTTAATATGGTTATGAAGTTTATGTGAGAAGTAACCAGAAGAATTTCTGAACTTGCTATTCGTTTTTTTATTGTTCAAGAAAAGTTTGCCATCAGTTTCCGATGAAGAAGAGTTTCCATCCATTGTGTTCGCATCTACAAGATAAGACTGTAGGTGCTGGAGATGTTACTGATGGCTAGCGGTAGCCTTTGCTATCATAAAAGACATTTATCAAATGAAGAACTAATTATTAGTTGAGCTGTTGTTGCATTTTTGAAGTTCTTCCCCCTTTGCAAGACCACAATTACAGTCCAGATTTCAGAAAATCTTGCTTCATGCAACCAGCATTTTATGGGCTGTGGTAGACGTAGATCCAAACCCGTCCAGTTGCCTGCAGTGGATCTTTGTTTCTTCATTTTGAATTATTTTTTCTTCTGAATATAGTTCATATTTATTTGTTTTGCAATTTTGGTTTAAACTGAACTATTTAGGTTGTGATATGCACTTGAGCAGTATCCAGGGGTATGACAATGCATGAGGATGAAGGCCTTGAACAGATACTTCTGCGCTCTCGGTGTCATAAAGGTCGTTTGCTTTATTATTTTCCTTCCCTTCAGAGGTGATCTATTTCTTCTTATTACAAGTTTTTTCCATGATTAAATATTTTTAATTTTACCATTGGAGTGCCCCAAGTGCTTTGGCAGTCATCGTGAGCATTCAGGAACATTAGAATCGGTTATGTGGGTAGTGGCTAAATTGATGTTTTGTTTGGTGTACCATATTTTCCATTTGCCTCATGCGTAGGCATAGAAGATCAAGGGGTTTACATGATCGATGTACTTGTGGTGTGCATGACATTTCTTAGATAGACACTTCTCAAATTTCTTGGATTCTCTTGTCAAATTTAAGCCTTCTCTTTTTTCTTGTTTTGCTTTTTAATTATGTAATTTTGGCCAAGTAGGCACCATTAAATTAGATTACTTGATGTACCATATGAGGCCAGGAGAGTTAATCACAAGTTCTATGAAAGTTCACAATTGAAATCCCTAGGAATTCTAGATTGCAATGGAAGAGATTGAAGATGAATTCTTGATGGTTCACAAGGTCAAGGAAATTAAGAAAGCTGGCAAGTGGCACGAGAAGTGAGCTGTCAAGTGTTTTCCATTTCCAATGTCATAATAAAAGTATATGAGCTAGGGGCCTCATTACCATTTAATTTCATGAGCTTTGCAAACCCATTTTTTTCCCTCTCTTTTTTTTTTTTTCTTCGTTTTTTTCCCCATTTTGTTGCACATGGTCTCCACTAAAGAATTTTGTTGTTTCAAGGACAATAAAGTACTTTGTTCAGTATTTAAAGAAAACTTTAACTGGTGTTTTTCTGTATGTTTCCTCGAAAGGCCTAGACGCCCCTTTCCCTGTAGCCTCATCCTCTTTGCTTGAAGGGAAAGTCAACTTACTTTTACAATGACATTATGTTGAACAAAATTGCTATTTTTTCACCTTTCCGCCACAATATCTTGATTTGTGAATCTTGTTCATTCTTCTGATCTTGAAAGGCACTGGAATTTTTATTTTCATAATCCTACTAAAGCAGTTTTTGCTCCATCTTTTATTTTATTTTTTACTTACAAAAAAAGTCTTTAGTTTCTTGTATAAAATAAGCTCATCTTAGTTAAAAACTGGAATAATTCTCGCTACGATTTTACTTTGTCAAAAATGTTATCTATGCAAAAAGTTAAAAATTTAAGCAGCTATGATTTCATAAAGTCCGAATGTCAGCTGTTAAGTAACCTGGTCTATGTATTTCAACTCGTGTCTTGTTTATAATAGATTGATTACCTTTGTGATTTTGTTATCTTGCTAGATGATATTCAACCATGGAATTCTAATGTCCATATGCATAATGGTCCAATATCCTTGTGTAGAATCTTGCTTTAAAAACTTTACAATCCCATTGATTGCACGTAGTAAATTCCTGCCAGTTCATGCTAAGGATTTTTTCCAGTGGTGTAACATCAGCTTAGGCTGGAAATCTATGAACCTTCCTTTCATTCAGTATAGAGTCTGAACATTGCTTTGTTTAGATCTCCATTCTCATGACTGATTGGTTTTTACTGTGCATGCACATAATGATTTAGTGCAGCCATTTTATCATGAAGTGCATAATAACTTGTTCTATTGCTTTGAATTGTTATTGTTGGTTTTCCATGTTGCTCTTTTCCAGTGATTCTGATAAACTTCTTACCTTGGACCAACAACTTCCTATGAACTCTTGTTGATGGGAGAATCTTTTCTTATGAATTGAAAATTGTGTTATTTGAATACAGTATGGAGTGTTTACTTTTTTCAATTTTAAATAAAATAAATTATTGGTTTGAAGACATCCAACCAATTAATAAGTTGAAAATGACTTTCTTGCAGTGTTTTTACCCAAAATGGTGCGTCTATGTCATCTTGGTGTGGCTGGCATACTGATCATGGTTCCCTCACAGGTGAGCAATTTTTCTGCCCAACCTATTGCAACATTTTATCTGGAGCTCTAGAAGGTGATAAACTGAGTTGGATAACCCATGAGCTAGCTCATTGAAATGATGATTGTCCAATACAAAGTCCTTTCCTCTCCCTCCATATTAATAATCACAAGGAAAAAAGGCTTGTGAAATCCTCCCCTATAGAACACTTTCTTTTTCATTTTTTATAAATAAAAATTTTATCAATGAACTAGCATTCTGACAATGCTAATGAATACAGCTGGAAAATTGACAAAACCCAAACCTAACCACAAAGAGTATCTATAAAATTGTCATAAGCAAACAAATCCGGAGATACGGTCCCTGACACCCAACTATACAAAATCACCAACCGAGCTTTCATACAAGCCACCAAATCATCCACCCCTTGAAAAACACGCCGATTCGAGATTTGTGAATCATCCACCTCCTATATAACACACTTAACGAGATATACGTCTAATTTATCTGTTAAACCCTGGAGGGCATGCAAATTTCACTTGATTGAATGTAAGCATTACAATGAACAATAAAAGGGAGAAGAGGTAACAGATAGGGAAATGAGCCTCGCTCTGCTTGGACCACATACTTGGAACTTCAATGTGAATTTATACCCTAAGATGCATGGACACAGACACCTAACACGACACGGACATGCGGACTCGTAAATTTTCAAAAAATGAAGGACACGACATGTTGGAGGCACATGTAAAAAATATAATTATATATATTTATTATATGTCATATTTTTAAATATTTAATATGTATTTTATGTCAAATATTTAATTTTATCAAATTTAGGTATGTTATTTTTAGTAAAAAAAAATTTAAAAATTAATTTTTTTTTAAAAAAAATAGTCCTCAATGTGTACCCAATGTGTCCCCAGTGTATCCCTAGTGTGTCCTCAGCATGTCCCTATGTGTGCACAGCGTGTCCCTAGTGTGTCCTCAACATGTTCCTATGTGTCTACAGCGTGTCCGACATGTGTCGGACACTCATACGTGACCTCCGGAGAGGTGTCCATGCTTTATAGTTTATACCTGTGCTGGTGGTTGAAATTGTTGCTAGGTGAAGCAAGAACATCGCCAATACGATGAAGAGTGGTGTTCCCAAACCAAAATTTTGAATTCAAATATAAAGCAGATTTGGTAACTCAAATTGAACTTCTACAAGGAGAGAGCCTTGCTGATAAAGTACTGGATTTGTATATTCGATCAAAGCATCTACATATACAATTATTAATTTAAAAATATCATTTAAATTTTTTTTTTCTTCTTATTTATAGATGAAGGAATGTAATTTCGGCAATACTACTAGTGCTGGATTTGCCTTCAGTTTGTTGAGCCAAGAAAAGGAGGGCCGCCTGTCCCCTTTCTTCCACTTAGTCATGTGACCAGATGAGCTGGCCTCCATGGCTTGACCCTCTTATTAATAGAGCCTCCCTTCATTCATGCAAGACAACCTTCTCCATCTTTCCAACCATAGAGGTTCTAGTTCAACATCTGACCCACATGACTCTTTTTCTCTCCCTTGCTCTGATACTGCATCTACTCTCACCATGTCTACTTTTCGATGGGCCATTGCCACCTCAATGAGTGCCTTACTTCCCAGAATGCTTCCTTACCAGCCCACGTGACCTCCACCGCTCATGTTTATTACATGTATATTGTGAAAATGAAGTAATATACGGCTTTAGTAACCACCATCCTATCAACCACACTTGAGACTGGCAAAGGACCTTTCAAAATTTTGAATTGTATGTGACAAGCATGATGTCATAGTTCAGATTCCGATGCTAAGTATTCACCTAGAATTTTGAAAATTTTGCCCTAATTTCCCTCTATGAAATAAATATGATTTTTAAACAAGTTTTTATATGTATTCCCTATCCATAAACAATTTATTGGATAGCCTGCAGCTTGATAAACAAATTCAGATCAATTTCAGATTTTTCCAGTAGATTTGAAATTGTTGTCAATATTTCTTATTTTGTCTCTAATTTGTGGTTGAATTCAACATGTAGGTCTTAGCTGTGGCATGTTTATGAGAGATGCTGTAGAGTTACCTTGCCCTGATAGTGCTGCCGGTCTTTATATCAAAACACGAAATGATCAAATAGTTAAAGTATACTTTCTTGTGCTTGAAACTGTAGTTGTGCAAAGATTTTACTTGCAATTTATTTATCCGATTGATAACAGAATATATGCTTCATTGAAGGTTTTTTATTTCAACTTTAGAAGTGATGGTTTTCCATTTATTCAAAATTATGTATGCAAATGTTGTGGATCTATCTCACCTCAAAATTGGGGGAAATATATACCTTGAAAATAGTATACATGGTGGGTAACAAGAAGGTTGAGATTGCATCTGAAATCCAATGAGTGTTAAAAGAGCCAAGTTCATCAATGAAAGTAAATATAAAACAGATAATATCAGTAGTGGACATGTTTAACGCAGTGGTGAAGTCATGCAATGGAAGTTAAAAGGGAGATTCAAAATTGGGAAATAATGTGGAAAATTGTTTATAGATGTTGTTGATGTTAGTGGTAGACTTGAACTTTAATGTCAGATAAAATAAAATAAAAAGAATTGCATAGAACATGTAAGCAATTAATCACATGTATAAGCAATAATGGTTGGGCACATCATACAAAAGGGAAATGAAATTCAAGGTGGTTCTTTTTTTTGTTGTCCTTACTGACAATTCATAGGATTTCATACCTATTTTAAAGTAACCAAAATGATACTGAAATTTTTTAGATGCATGTTCATGAGGGACTGTCTTAATAAAGAAACTACACAACCAGAACAAAATTCATATGATATGACAATTTGTGTAGGCGAAAAAATATAAAATCCTAATTGCTGAGACAAAGATTGATGCGCTTCTTTTGCTTCCCTAATAGCATATTTTGTGTTTGGCCCAAAATAGAAGGTAGGTTTTAAGTACACAACGCATAATTGGGGGTGTACTGAATACTGAACATCTATCCCGCATTTGAATAAGTTGTTGATAGCATCACAGGTTAGGCAAGATGGATACTTTTAAGAAAATCATAATAAAAAGAAGATTGGTCAAAAGTCATAGAATTTTCAATATCCATTGGAGTGTCTGTCCCAGGGCGGTTTTAACTAAGAGAAGGATAACTTTTTGATTTATTCTCAATGTGTTATTCTCTGAGAACTTCATAAGCATGCCTTACTGACAGGTTCTATGGGCAGGATAGAAATTATAGGAGAAATGAATCCAAGACAGTAAAGAAATGTCACAAGTGGAGATTTCATTATCCTTTGCAACATATTCTTATAATTTGATAATTATTGCTGATGTTGTTTATTTCTTACACGAGTAACAACAAAACTTGACTCAACAAACCCATTCCGACTACTAAGTTGTTTTATAGATTTATTTTTTCCTTTTTTCCGATTGCCCATACTTAAGAAATCTGTTGTTAATTCATAGCTATCATATTTTTTCTAACATAACCCTGAATGTGGTTTTTCTTCGTTCTTACTGCCTTCAAATTGAAACAAATTAATCCTTAGGGTGTCGTCATTGCTATTCAATGCAGGACGTTCTTAATTAACTCGCTAATCTTCTTGTTGTTGCTTAATTCTGCTAATGCTTTCATTTCTAAGTCTACCTTTGTTTATTCTCTTTTTAGCAACTCTCACTTGATGGACATCTAGCTTTTCGATTATCCTACAATGACCTAAAGCAGGTCTAACCTGACATCCTTATAAATTTTCCCTATGGTTTCATGGCTTCAACTATAACAGCACAAGAAGTATCTTCTTCACTTCATCCATCCTGGTCTAATTTTCAGGTTGGTTGTTCCATTGACCTTCTTATCAGGAATGATTGAAACCAAATACTGAAAATGTTCACTTTTTGGTAACGGCTTTAGAATTTCATTCTCTTCTTTTGACTCCTAGTTTTCTGAGTCTGCAATCTATGTACTAAGTTTCTGTGTTCATACTAGAACCTTTTTAGCTCAAAGCATCTCGCTCCATTACTATTAAGTTTTCACCTATTTTTAGCTCAAATTTCAACTTCAAAGCATCTCGCCCTGTTGTTAATTAACTCCCTTGCTACCAAGCATCTCTCCCTGTTATTTGAGTAACAAAAACCACTTCATCTCAAGTGTTATCTAATGTAAACCCATTATTGATGCAGAAAGATACAGTTATCGGAAACTTTGATGCAGCTCTGTTCTGGTTAAATATGCACTCACATTCTTAACTAAGAATAGAATGGATTAGTTAGGTCAGTGTTCAGCCTCACTTGGGTTCCATTTGGTTAAGGTCAATCTACTGTTAAGCAAATTTTTGTTGCAGTTCTGATGGACCAAACCATATTAAAACTTAAAAGTGAATTGAGAAAGATCTTTAAAAGGAAAATTGCAGATTGTCATGCTAGTCAAGGTTTAACAGTTGAATTTCTTTGGCAACAGATCTTAACTTGGTAAAAAACTTTGATTTGTTATCTTGTGTGTTATGGTTTGAATGACGGTGCTCTATCGCACAGGTTTTACGACCAATAGAATATTTGGCTCATGTAAATATAGTTTTTGTCTAACGCGTATTCTTCTTAATGCATCAGGTGGTATTTGGAGAAGATGAAATAGCATACCAGATTGGTGAAACCTCTGAAATACTGTCAAGAGGTCATCTTTGTGCGACACCACATTGTGTTCGGGTACTTTTGGTCTTTCATTAGTCACCTGTCTGTTGCTTTTAACTTTCCCTCTTGCAATGTCATAATTAAAGCTTCCTCTTAATTCATTTGGCTCTCAGTTTATATGTCAGTTTTCTCACCCCCTTTCCCTTTACTCTTTGAGGGAGATGTTCCTGGTTGTTGGTTGTCAAAATTGGAAAAAACCCCAAATTCGAAATTCATTGATTTGTAATTTGAATTCAATGCAACCGATCTCTCAACCAATTGAACAATTAACACAATCACAATATGACCTAATCTAATTCAATGCAAATCAAATTAGATCTAAACAATTAAGGACAAGAGAGATTTAACATGGAAAAAAAATCACAATTGGACTCCAATTGTGATATATAAAAAAAATTATAAAAAAAAAAACCATGGGCCAATGGCCACCAAACCAATCCACTATGAAGAATAGGAAATTACACAAGAAATTCTCACACAATCAGCAATCCGCTGTGAGGAATAGGAAATTACAAAAGGAATTCTCACACAATCACCTAGCGAATCCATGCACAAATTGCCTCAACCCCTTGTACCTCTTCCAACATTGCCTTCACCACGAAATTGCTTCTCCAACACTGAATCCACGATGATAAGCCACTTCGGAATCTACCAAAGGTTCCAAGCTCAAATCCCCGGAATCCACCGAAGAACTCTCTTGGAAAGTGTAATTGATGTAGAAACCCTTGGTGATTTTCAATCCCTATAGCTTTGATCACTATATCAGTCTCAATTTATCAAGGTATATGTGCTCTGTCTCTCTCTCTCTCTCTCTCCCTCTCTCTCTCTCTCTATGGTTTATCTGCGGTAGCAAACCTCTAAGCTCAAGTGCACGGTTGCATAAGTGACAATGTACTGCGAGTTCAAGCCTGATTTTCATAAATGCAAGCCCTGGTTGATCCAAAATGCTCCTGACCTCTACCGTGATCTTCTTGAGGAGGCAAGTGCAAAGGAAACTGATGAAGTCTCCAATTGCTTCCTGTCCACTCTAAATTCCAATGGAATCGTCCCTTCTGGTGGTTCTTCAATTTCAAAGGAAGAAAAAATAAAATTCCTTCCTGCGGGAAGATAGAAAAAAAAATGAAAGAGAAACAAGGATTTGTAGCCAAAGGTGGTGCATAACAAGTGAAAATGCATGACCGTTGTGTAAGGCCTGGATCTTTCTACTGTTAAATTTAGTGATTGTTCAGAAGAGCATGGGAAGACGCTTGCCACTAGAGCCTCTGTTGTTAAGGGACCAACTGAAAAAAGAGTTGTGTGATGTTCAAGTAGACATAACATAACCAATAATGTTTTTGGAGTTCCTCAGAGACCTGGCTTGATGTGCCAGAATCTGTATTATCCTTTGTTGAGGATGAAAAAAGGGCTCCAATTGTTGATTTTTGAGTGGGGTGTGGTACCTTTCTTTCCATTGGCTTGACTCTTCATCAAATCTAGTGTACTCCGAAATCAAAGGGTTGTAATAAATAAAATTGAAGGCAGTGGATACTGTTCTTATATTTTATGCTTAGTGCTGTTTTTTTTTTTTTATTTATTCTTTTTCTCCTCTCTCTCTCTCTCTCTCTCTTCTTTTGTGTGTGTGTGCTTGTGTGTATTTACACATCCACAGAATCAAAATAATGGGCTAACTAACAGCTTTCAAAATATCTAGAAGTATCTTTGGACATAAAATTTAATATTTTGTTGACCTTGCCAAATCAAGTCTTAAATCTTATCAAATGGGATCGGCTATATGAATTCTTCTTCTCCACTCGACTCTATCAATGGCCACTTGGTTAGTCAAATTAAGGAACTTCATATCTCTATTTACTACACTAGTCCATGTCAATCTAGGTCTGCTCCTTCCCCTAACAATTCCATCTACAGTCACTGTATCGCATCTCTTCACTACTGCCTTTGTTGGTGTCCGTTGTATATGACCAAACCATCTCAATCTATTCTCTCTCAACTTATCTTCTATTGGTACTACTCATACCAATTCACGAATATACTCATTCCTAACTCTGTTTTTTCTAGTCTTGCCGCTCATCCACCTTAGCATCCTCATCTCAGTGATACTCATCTTATCTATATGTTGTTTCTTAGTTACCCAACATTCTGTCCCATACAATATCACTAGTCTAATGGCCGTTCTATAGAACTTTCTTTTTAGTTTAGTGGGTACTTATTTACTATTTTGCTAACCTTAAGAGTGGAAAATGATATCACAAGTTTTTCTAAAGAAACTCAGCATTCTCAAACAATAGAAGTTCATTTATTCACACTTCTAGCTGGTGAATTCCTATCTGGGTGATAACTTTTGATATGCCAGCTAAAGGTTATTGTTGTGGGGTGTTTATCTTTTTGGTTTTAGTCATATTGTGAAATATAGGATTTTTAATTTACTTCAGTTACACTAAATCTTTTAGTGAAATAAGAGTTATGATGACAACAACATATCTCTGATTCCAGCTTTATTTACCTCAGTGGCCTATGTAGGGACATTAATTTAAGAATTATTCATATCCAGCCCATGGTTAGTCAAGCTGGTTTCAAGGTTGAATCTCCAATTTGTTTATCGTGAGACCTCAATTTTGCCAAGAGTGAGTGGTGAAAGAAGATTATGTTGCTAAAGAAGGAACTTTTAAGCATGAAATTTGACGAGAACTTGATGTGTTATAGCATGTAATCTAATCAGCCTATCTTTTGGCATATTTACAGTAGTAAAGTGTAGATGCAAATTGATTATTGTTTGTATATATATGTATGCGTAGCACAAATATCTATATATAGATGTGAGGTCGTGTGTGTGTCAGGTTTAGTTCATGCTTTTCTTACACTTTGTATACCTGGTAGAGATTTTTATGCTTTTTGTTGTGCAGACATCTTGAAAGGCTCTTTCTATGCAAATCCAATATTTGATACACCTACAACTGATGAATCTCTTGTTCAACGGTAAGTCTAAGAAAAACCTTTTCTATTTTTTGGTGCTTCTACATGTCTGTTGTACAAGGCACTATTGTGCACCACATATGGTGATGTGATTTCACAACTTTTGCTTTCATGTTATGTCTTCTAGGTACCCATCATATTGTGGATCAAATATATGGCCTGATAGGGCTCTTCCAGAACTTGAAGTGGGTATGTTTTCATCTAACTTTTTAATCACTAGAGCTGTGGATTACTTGCATGTGTCCATTTGTTCTTAGAATAATATCTTTGTGATTGTGATTTTGCTTAGCTGTCATTAGTTGTAGTTTCCTTTTGTGCCTTGAGGCTTCTATTGTACGTTTCATATTATAAATCTATAAGGGAGTGATGGTCTCATCATTCCCTAAGTTTGATTTCTCCTAAAATAAACATGGTATCAGAGCCATGTTCATCATCCACCTTTACGTAACGACCATAGTACCACCACGCTACACCGCTAAACCACCACACACCACTAGGACCACCCGACAGCCACCCAAGGCCCAGTCGACAGCCACCCATGCCCATGCGACACCACTAGAGCCTATTTTGGCTTTTCTACAGCCTCACCTAGGGCTCAGGACTTGGACAGGACAATTTCAACACCTCCCTTGATGCTTGATTAGGGTTTCGGCAGCCTCTCTTTGCCCCAGCCTATGTTTTGATTGACCCATTTGGTTCTTTGTTTCTCCCTTGCTACAAGTTTTCACTTTATTACTGAGAGTATTTCAGTCCTTGTTTTGATTGATGGTACCTTCTCCCTATTTTTTGTTTAATTTTTTGGGTCAATATATGGCCCTAATCCTCAGCCTTGACTGATTGTATCTCTCCATCGTTTATGGTTGATTATATGTGCCTTGATTCCAGTCATTTTTCCTTCTTCCACTAGTAGTGATTGTTGCAGGTTGTTGTTTAGATAGTAGCATAGTAAGATGGCTGAACTTACGAGTGAATCCACCACTAGTTCCTAGCCACCTAAAGGGGAGAGTTCCATTATGACTACTGCATAAGAAAACCTTAACCCTAGCCTAAAAATCACCACCTCTTTGTTTAATGGACGGAACTATCTTGCATGGTTGCAATGTCTGACACTTTTCTTGAAAAGCCGAGGAAAAATGGGTTATGTTGATGGGAGAATCCAAGCTCCTAGTACCACTGATCCTAGTTATGACCAATGGGAGATTACAAATTCTCTGATTATAGGGTGGC